AAACTCATATGTTTAAAACGTCAAAAAAAAAACCAAAGCCAAGGACTCACAAGGCTTCTCTCCCAACCTTACAACCCACTGCCCAGGTCAGTTACACCAATTTTTCTAAAAATAAACATCTCACAGGGCATCATCCTTTCCCCACTTTGCTGTCTGCCTCTATGGTTCTCTTTCTGACTAGAAAGTATTTCTTTTGGGAAACTACTCTGAGAGGAGCCACAGCTGCTGGCAGGAGGGGCACAGATCGAGGCCAGGTGGACACGTGCAAGCTGGCACACCATCTCATTTGGGTGCTGTGTCACAACAGGTGCATGACAGGCAGAAAAGGAGTCAAGATAATAATGCTCAATGCTCACTTTTGGGTTATCTTCCAGCCCACATGCTGTAAATCCCTAAATCAATTGGAAGATATCTGTTACCCAAAAGCTCCAAACCAAAGAGTTGTATGTAATGTTGACATTTTAGTAATAAAGGCTCTGACGCTGGTCCTTTCACTTCAGTTTTGGATTTTTTTCCTTCCATAACTATGAAGCAGCTTAGAAAACAAACAAACAACATGTACAAGGTTTTATTGTTCCTTTCAAACAGATTCAGGGAAGCGGCATTCAGGTATGGCATAAAGACAAACCATAGCATTTCTGAGCTAATTAAGTGAGTAGAAAAAACCCAGACCAGGAAGGACTGTGTTTCCTCTGGCATCTGGAAGGGGGAGCGCATGAACCAGAGGCAAGGGCAGGAGAGGGCCGCCATACCCGGCCATCACTGAGCACCCACTGTGTGCCAGGCTCTGTGCTGGGAAAAATAAACATGGTCCTGCCTCGCAGTGACTACATCTTAGAAGGGGAAAGACACAATGGGTGATCACTGGTGTGACAAGAGGGGCTGGCTGCCCCAGGTCTTGGGACTCAGAAAAGCCATCCCAGGGGAAGCCCCATCTATCTGAGACTCCACAGAGGGGTGGGCGTTGGCCTGACTAGAGGGGGTGGCAGCAGGGGCAGGAAGTGCAGGGAGAAAGCCTCAAGCCACAGCAGGCAAGTGCAGCGGCCGAGGGCCCAACTCCATGCACAGGATGACAACTCACCCAGAGAGCCTGAAGCAAAGACACAAGAAGGGTGGCACTGGCTCCATGCTGCCAGGCTTCAGGCTGCTGGACAGGCCCAGAACAGACATCTGTACCCCTTAGGAGCCAAACGTCAGGATGCAGACACCTTGCCTATATTTTCTGCTGTGCCTTGCACTTTTGCCACAAGAACACACTGACTGCAGCTATGATGCAGGCCAGGAAGTGTGGCTGGGACTCTGGACAGTGACTCGAGGTGTGCAGCTGAATGATGAAAACTTAGACCGCAATTACAAGAACTGTTTAAAATATCCTCAAACATTTGCATCTGCAGTGGGCCCATGCACACTAGTTCTACTACCTTAGAAATTCCCCTGGTATATATTAACCAGAGCTCCATGCTCTGCAAAATTCATTGGGGTGTGGTTTGTACCTGCCTGGTGTTACTGAGAAAACCTCTGCTGAATTGAATCAACTAAACTTTCCATTTCCAAATCTGTTCACACGTGGCCTGAGGGCCATGTGTAACATGAGATGGAGGAGAAGCAGGAGCCAGGGAGGCAGCCTCCACTGGTTAGGTCGTAAACCATCAACTGCCCTATCCAGCACCACCTGCTGCAGGTTCTCTAGGCCAGAGCCTGTCGGGGGCCAACAGCGGCATAGCATCCTGGCATCGCTATAGGCTTATTCCTCTGTGACCACTCCTGGTGACACGCATCCTGGTAGAAGGCGACCCCACCCAGGTGCAAGCGGCTCTGACATCTGGGACTTACAGGAAAGGGCCCGCAGCTTGCACATAAACTCCAGATGTCCCGAGGCAAGCCACATGTAACGCCTCCACCAATTCTCTCAGCCCCTCAGTCGCATGGGCCCATTTTGTGACTCATCCGCATCCAGACAGCTCTTGATAGCCATTTTGACCTGCATACACCAGGATGAAGGAGCTGGGTCCTCAGGGGCAGGGTGTGCAGGTGGGAAGCTGAGCAGCTGATGGGTGATTTGTTCTAAGGTCTCCACGAGCCCAGGGATGGTCTTCCATCCAGAGACAGTCCTGGTTGAAATAATAATGGATTGTTTTCCTTAAAATAATTAATGTCGTAGTTAAAGCTAAATCATTCTCTATATCTGCCATCATAGGAAAAAAAAAAAACAGAGACCGGTTCCAAACTGATAGTGACTGGTTATTCTGCCACTTTGGGCCCCAGTGCACACAGCAGGCATTACAAACATGTGTTGGTGATACATGATAGATTTTCAAACCCAGAGCCCGCCTGCTCAGAAAAGGAAGTTTCAGGAAAGGGAAGATCTAAGGCGCCACCCCATGTAGGGCACAGCTCAGCATGTGGCCCCCGGGGGACACTCTACAAATCAGCACATGTGTGACGCACGGCACAGGACCCTTTCCGCATGGGGACCTATTTCTCTCCAGGATCCTGTGTTGGAAGAGCACATATCCATCTTAGAGATTTTGTTTGAGATTCTGTCCTCTCTGTGGGAAGATATTTGGAGACACCACGCAGCAGAGAGCCTTGGCGGAACCAGATGGCAGCCAATGAGAGGCTATTCTCATTCGGGGCCAACAGGAAAGCGGGAAGCCAGAGCCCAAATTTAGTCTGAAACCTGGTACCCAAGAGTACAAAGTTAGAAACTCCCTTGAACCATCTGGCTCTTTTAGATAAAATACCTGCCTGTCCAATCCTAGAACGGAAAGGAACTCAAAAGTCTAGCTCCCTTCCCAGACACAGCGTCTGCGCCATCAGGAGTGCTGCGCAACCATGGGAGACGCTTGATGTTAACCCCACAGAGCCCATAGCAAAGGCTGCCAATCCAAGGGTCTCAGGTTCTCTGGAATTGTTCTGATTAGACCTCTTTCACTCGTCTCCCCTCCACCAAGTCCCTTCTGCAGGACCACATCCAAGGCAGCGCACACACCCACACAGTGTGCACCCCATCTAAAATGCTTCCATGTGTCCCTGTCCCTCTGCCAACCCAGCTACAAGTCTTTCCTTCTCGCTGTCACACACCTCTGCACTTTATGTCATGATTCTCCCCTCTCTGACAGCGATATAATTTATCCATAAGCCCTAAAAGCCAACATTTCACCCCTGTCATGTTGATTCTGTTAAGAACCAAAATTCAACCCAGTAAATTTGAAGAGCTAATTGGTTGTTCATGAATCGGGCAACCGCCTCTCTAGCAAGTGGTGATGCTCTGCAGGACCACAGGACAGAAGGGCCTTTTAAAGGCAGAGAGCACATTAAAAAAGGAAGGACTCCACTAGCAGGGCATGCGCTTTTTTAGACAAGACTGCCCACCCAAGAGGAAAGGGCCTCCCTGGAATGACCCCAGGAAATTCTAGTTTGGCCCGTTAAAGGATACATTCCTGAGGGGGCGGAAACTACAATTAGGTTAGATGTTCAATCTTGGTTTATGGGGGTCCTAACTTTAAGTGACCCCATTATAGTCCTGCCATTTTTCTTTTTAACAGTTTGCAAACTGGCCCCATATGTGGAAGGCAGAAAGAGACCAGGAAAGAGGTGGCAACTCCAGATGGGTGGGCAGCAGGTGTAATAAGCAAGGAGGCACATATGAGCTTGTCTTGGGTAGCCACAGGAGCAGATCTCCAAGCCCACCCAGCGAATCTCAGAAGTTCACACAGGGCCCTTAATAGGGTTCAGCCCAGATAATCCCGACAACACATTGCTCTCTCAAGGCTGCATCCTTGAAACTGGGTCCCACTGTGGGAACAGCAGGCAGGTGAACATTCCCAGGATGGGGCCGGAGATGAGGAGCCCCCAGTGTCCGGGTCTAGCTCACCCCTGGATGACCTCCCCAACAAGCCAGCACCCCTAATTATTATGAAATACACTGGCGCCCAGTGAGAAAAATGTGTATTACAGACCCTCCTCACCCAGACCCCCACACCTGCCACCGCATGGGGCTTGACAGCTGCTGACACTACCTCGACCTTTACCTGAACTAAAAATAGCCTAACCTGACCCATTCTTCAGTGGAGTCTTCAGCCTGTTGAAACAGAAGTGAAGAAAGGCCGTCTGGAGAGGGAGTCAGCAGAAAAGAGAGCAGGATAAGAGAGAGGGCCCCCCCAGCCCCTGCCCAATGCTCCCTTTTCACCCCTTCAAATGACTTTCAGAGGGCAGGAGAGCCAGTAAAGCCCAACAGAAATGCCACTTACCACCACTGCTACTTTGGGTCACAAAATCCCTTAGTTAGCACAGAGCTACTGACATTGGTGGCCCCTCCAGAGAGCCACCTGGGCAGTGCTCTGGCCTTGTTTCCAAGGCTCCTCTACACCCACACCTTCTGCCAGTCCTCCAGAAAGTCCCTCACGCCAGTCTCACCTGCCCTGAGCGGAGCCCAGCCTGCTGATGCCTGGGCTTCAGAGCGACTCCTCCTCTGGGGGCTACCCTCTGTTAGCTCAGGTGCCCCCAGGCTCCCTGATGCCAGGAGGGGTCAGACACATAGGATGCTGATGGGAGATGCCCAGGAGGGATGAGACGGAAGGGAGTGGAGATGCAGGGAGTCAGGCCACAGGCAGGGCTGACCTCTGTGGAAGGTGGGAGGAGCGGGCAGGAAGGGCCGCAGACTCAGTAGAGAGTCAAGATTCCCCTTAGAGGATTCCCCAACAGGGCAGGACTTGTCCTGCTCCAGACCACTCGCTGTGCTCAGCGAGGGGACGGCCTGGGGCAAGCAGGGCCTCAGGCTACATACATCAGAGTAACAGGGAAAGATGCTTTTCCCAATAAAGGCTATGGGTTACCTGGATATACATTATATGTGGGGAACCCTGAACTTTAAACTCTCTCACACCATTCACGAAAATCAGTTCCAGTAAACCTAAATATGAGACAATTAAAAAAGAACAAAAATAGACAAAAAAGTATGAAAGACAAAAAAAATTTTTGAACACACTGACTGCAGCTATGATGCAGGCCAGGAAGTGTGGCTGGGACTCTGGACAGTGACTCGAGGTGTGCAGCTGAATGATGAAAACTTAGACCGCAATTACAAGAACTGTTTAAAATATCCTCAAACATTTGCATCTGCAGTGGGCCCATGCACACTAGTTCTACTACCTTAGAAATTCCCCTGGTATATATTAACCAGAGCTCCATGCTCTGCAAAATTCATTGGGGTGTGGTTTGTACCTGCCTGGTGTTACTGAGAAAACCTCTGCTGAATTGAATCAACTAAACTTTCCATTTCCAAATCTGTTCACACGTGGCCTGAGGGCCATGTGTAACATGAGATGGAGGAGAAGCAGGAGCCAGGGAGGCAGCCTCCACTGGTTAGGTCGTAAACCATCAACTGCCCTATCCAGCACCACCTGCTGCAGGTTCTCTAGGCCAGAGCCTGTCGGGGGCCAACAGCGGCATAGCATCCTGGCATCGCTATAGGCTTATTCCTCTGTGACCACTCCTGGTGACACGCATCCTGGTAGAAGGCGACCCCACCCAGGTGCAAGCGGCTCTGACATCTGGGACTTACAGGAAAGGGCCCGCAGCTTGCACATAAACTCCAGATGTCCCGAGGCAAGCCACATGTAACGCCTCCACCAATTCTCTCAGCCCCTCAGTCGCATGGGCCCATTTTGTGACTCATCCGCATCCAGACAGCTCTTGATAGCCATTTTGACCTGCATACACCAGGATGAAGGAGCTGGGTCCTCAGGGGCAGGGTGTGCAGGTGGGAAGCTGAGCAGCTGATGGGTGATTTGTTCTAAGGTCTCCACGAGCCCAGGGATGGTCTTCCATCCAGAGACAGTCCTGGTTGAAATAATAATGGATTGTTTTCCTTAAAATAATTAATGTCGTAGTTAAAGCTAAATCATTCTCTATATCTGCCATCATAGGAAAAAAAAAAAACAGAGACCGGTTCCAAACTGATAGTGACTGGTTATTCTGCCACTTTGGGCCCCAGTGCACACAGCAGGCATTACAAACATGTGTTGGTGATACATGATAGATTTTCAAACCCAGAGCCCGCCTGCTCAGAAAAGGAAGTTTCAGGAAAGGGAAGATCTAAGGCGCCACCCCATGTAGGGCACAGCTCAGCATGTGGCCCCCGGGGGACACTCTACAAATCAGCACATGTGTGACGCACGGCACAGGACCCTTTCCGCATGGGGACCTATTTCTCTCCAGGATCCTGTGTTGGAAGAGCACATATCCATCTTAGAGATTTTGTTTGAGATTCTGTCCTCTCTGTGGGAAGATATTTGGAGACACCACGCAGCAGAGAGCCTTGGCGGAACCAGATGGCAGCCAATGAGAGGCTATTCTCATTCGGGGCCAACAGGAAAGCGGGAAGCCAGAGCCCAAATTTAGTCTGAAACCTGGTACCCAAGAGTACAAAGTTAGAAACTCCCTTGAACCATCTGGCTCTTTTAGATAAAATACCTGCCTGTCCAATCCTAGAACGGAAAGGAACTCAAAAGTCTAGCTCCCTTCCCAGACACAGCGTCTGCGCCATCAGGAGTGCTGCGCAACCATGGGAGACGCTTGATGTTAACCCCACAGAGCCCATAGCAAAGGCTGCCAATCCAAGGGTCTCAGGTTCTCTGGAATTGTTCTGATTAGACCTCTTTCACTCGTCTCCCCTCCACCAAGTCCCTTCTGCAGGACCACATCCAAGGCAGCGCACACACCCACACAGTGTGCACCCCATCTAAAATGCTTCCATGTGTCCCTGTCCCTCTGCCAACCCAGCTACAAGTCTTTCCTTCTCGCTGTCACACACCTCTGCACTTTATGTCATGATTCTCCCCTCTCTGACAGCGATATAATTTATCCATAAGCCCTAAAAGCCAACATTTCACCCCTGTCATGTTGATTCTGTTAAGAACCAAAATTCAACCCAGTAAATTTGAAGAGCTAATTGGTTGTTCATGAATCGGGCAACCGCCTCTCTAGCAAGTGGTGATGCTCTGCAGGACCACAGGACAGAAGGGCCTTTTAAAGGCAGAGAGCACATTAAAAAAGGAAGGACTCCACTAGCAGGGCATGCGCTTTTTTAGACAAGACTGCCCACCCAAGAGGAAAGGGCCTCCCTGGAATGACCCCAGGAAATTCTAGTTTGGCCCGTTAAAGGATACATTCCTGAGGGGGCGGAAACTACAATTAGGTTAGATGTTCAATCTTGGTTTATGGGGGTCCTAACTTTAAGTGACCCCATTATAGTCCTGCCATTTTTCTTTTTAACAGTTTGCAAACTGGCCCCATATGTGGAAGGCAGAAAGAGACCAGGAAAGAGGTGGCAACTCCAGATGGGTGGGCAGCAGGTGTAATAAGCAAGGAGGCACATATGAGCTTGTCTTGGGTAGCCACAGGAGCAGATCTCCAAGCCCACCCAGCGAATCTCAGAAGTTCACACAGGGCCCTTAATAGGGTTCAGCCCAGATAATCCCGACAACACATTGCTCTCTCAAGGCTGCATCCTTGAAACTGGGTCCCACTGTGGGAACAGCAGGCAGGTGAACATTCCCAGGATGGGGCCGGAGATGAGGAGCCCCCAGTGTCCGGGTCTAGCTCACCCCTGGATGACCTCCCCAACAAGCCAGCACCCCTAATTATTATGAAATACACTGGCGCCCAGTGAGAAAAATGTGTATTACAGACCCTCCTCACCCAGACCCCCACACCTGCCACCGCATGGGGCTTGACAGCTGCTGACACTACCTCGACCTTTACCTGAACTAAAAATAGCCTAACCTGACCCATTCTTCAGTGGAGTCTTCAGCCTGTTGAAACAGAAGTGAAGAAAGGCCGTCTGGAGAGGGAGTCAGCAGAAAAGAGAGCAGGATAAGAGAGAGGGCCCCCCCAGCCCCTGCCCAATGCTCCCTTTTCACCCCTTCAAATGACTTTCAGAGGGCAGGAGAGCCAGTAAAGCCCAACAGAAATGCCACTTACCACCACTGCTACTTTGGGTCACAAAATCCCTTAGTTAGCACAGAGCTACTGACATTGGTGGCCCCTCCAGAGAGCCACCTGGGCAGTGCTCTGGCCTTGTTTCCAAGGCTCCTCTACACCCACACCTTCTGCCAGTCCTCCAGAAAGTCCCTCACGCCAGTCTCACCTGCCCTGAGCGGAGCCCAGCCTGCTGATGCCTGGGCTTCAGAGCGACTCCTCCTCTGGGGGCTACCCTCTGTTAGCTCAGGTGCCCCCAGGCTCCCTGATGCCAGGAGGGGTCAGACACACAGGATGCTGATGGGAGATGCCCAGGAGGGATGAGACGGAAGGGAGTGGAGATGCAGGGAGTCAGGCCACAGGCAGGGCTGACCTCTGTGGAAGGTGGGAGGAGCGGGCAGGAAGGGCCGCAGACTCAGTAGAGAGTCAAGATTCCCCTTAGAGGATTCCCCAACAGGGCAGGACTTGTCCTGCTCCAGACCACTCGCTGTGCTCAGCGAGGGGACGGCCTGGGGCAAGCAGGGCCTCAGGCTACATACATCAGAGTAACAGGGAAAGATGCTTTTCCCAATAAAGGCTATGGGTTACCTGGATATACATTATATGTGGGGAACCCTGAACTTTAAACTCTCTCACACCATTCACGAAAATCAGTTCCAGTAAACCTAAATATGAGACAATTAAAAAAGAACAAAAATAGACAAAAAAGTATGAAAGACAAAAAAAATTTTTTATTTTTAGAAAATAGTACAGGAGAATACATTTATGACCAACAAAGTCATAAACTTTCAAGAAAATCTACAAACCAGAAAGGAAATGAGAGATTGGGTGGAATACATTTAAATTAAAAACTTCTGCTTTGATAAGCAGAGGAGCAGGAAGAGACAAATCAGGTGGGAGAATATAAGTGATAAAGATTGTGTGTGTGAAAGATTACACATGAAACTAAAATGAATTAAAAGTTAAACGGAAACACAGAGAATCCAGTTGAAAAATGGGCAAGACACTTGAACAGATGTTCCACTAAAGAGGATGTCCAAAGGGCCAGCAAGCTTATGAAAAGGTACTTAGTATCATTAATCATGAGGGAAATACACACTAACCACAATGAGATATCACTGAACACTCACCTGAACGGCTAAAATGTAAAGAACTGGGAACAAGTGCTGGAAAGGAGGAGCAGCAGAAGCTCCCACGTTTTCCTGCAGGGGCGCAAAGGGCTCAGTCACTTCAGAAACCTGTTTGCAGACTCGGCTACTAAGTTCCCGTATGACCTAAAGATCCTTCTCAAAGGAATGGCACTACCAAGAGGTGGCCTCACACAGTGCATAATCTGTAAAAGACACTTGCAAGAGCACTCACACAGCATTATCAGCCTGAAGCAAATGTGCACCACGAGGGGAAGGGGCCAGTAAACTGTGGTGCGCCCTCCTGTGGCGCACTGTAGGGAAAGGGAATGCACTGAAACTGCACCTGACAATACAGATGAACTTCACAGACACGAGGCAGAGCAAACATTCTCTGTTGATGATACACAGGTCAAACACAGGTGGAACTGGAATTTGGCCTTTAAGGATTCACGCTTAAGTAGTACAACTTAAGTGGTAAGCATGAAAGTCGGGACAGTGGTTCCCTTTAGGCAAAGGAGAAGGGTGTAACTAGGAAGGGGGATGCAAGCACTCCTGGGAGGCCTGCAACAACCTATTTTCAACCTACCTGTGTGGTTACGATAATTTGAAGAACCTCACTATTACCTTTAATGCACCTTTTTTGTGTTATATATTTTTTAAATTAATTTATTTTTATTTTGGTGTCATTAATATACAATCACATGAGCAACATTGTGGTTACTAGATTCCCCCTATTACCAAGTCCCCACCACATACCCCATTACAGTCACTGTCCATCAGCGTAGTAAGATGCTATAGAGTCACTACTTGTCTTCTCTGTGCTATACTGCCTTTCCTGTGCCCTGCCCCTACGTTATGTGTGCTAATCATAATGCACCTTTTTCCCCTTCTCCCGCTCTTGCCATCCACCCTCCCCAGTCCCTTTCCCTTTGGCAACTGTTAGTCCATTCTTGGGTTCTGTGAGTCTGCTGCTGCTTTGTTCCTTCAGTTTTTGCATTGTTCTTATGCTCCACAGATGAGTGAAATCATTTGGTACTTATCTTTCTCTGCCTGGCTTATTTCACTGAGCATAATATCCTCTAGCTCCATCCATGTTTGTTGCAAATGGTAGGATTTGTTTTCTTCTTATGGTTGAATAATATTCCATTGTGTATACATACCACCTCTTCTTTATCCATTCATCTACTGATGGACACTTAGGTTGCTTCCATTTCTTGACTATTGTAAATAGTGCTATGATACACATAAGGGTGCATGTCTTTTTGAAACTGGGATCCTGCATTCTTCGGGTAAATTCCTAAGAGTGGAATTTCTGGGTTGAATGGTATTTCTATTTTTAGTTTTTTGAGGAACCTCAATACTGCTTTCCACAATGGTTGAACTAGTTTACATTCCCACCAGCAGTGTAGGAGGGTTCCGCTTTCTCCACATCCTCGCCAGCATTTGTTGTTGTTTGTCTTTTGGATGGTGGTGATCCTTACTGGTGTGAGGTGGTATCTCACTGTGGTTTTAATTTGCATTTCCCTGATAATTAGCGATGTGGAGCATCTTTGCATGTGTCTGTTGGCCATCTGAATTTCTTCTTTGGAGAATTGTCTGTTCATATCCTCCACCCATTTTTTAATAGGGTTATTTGCTTTTTTGGGTGTTGAGGTGTGTGAGTTCTTTATATATTTTGGATGTTAACACTTTGTCAGATACACCATTTAAAATATGTTCTCCTATACTGTA